ATCCATAGGTGTACGATTTTTGTCCAGTCTTTTCCCGCACCCCCACACCCTTTCCCCCCCGAGAATTGTCAGTCCACTCCCTTTCTATGCCCCCGATTCTATTATATTCACCAGTTTATTCTGTTCATCAGATCATTTATTCACTTGATTTTTAGATTCACTTGTTGATAGATATGTATTTTTTGTTCATAATTTTTATCTTTACCTTTTTCTTCTTCTTCCTCTTCTTAAAGGATACCTTTCAGCATTTCATATAATACTGGTTTGGTGGTGATGAACTCCTTTAGCTTTTTCTTATCTGTGAAGCTCTTTATCTGACCTTCACTTCTGAATGATAGCTTTGCTGGATAAAGTAATCTTGGTTGTAGGTTCTTGGTATTCATCACTTTGAATATTTCTTGCCACTCCCTTCTGGCCTGCAAAGTTTCTGTTGAGAAATCAGCTGACAGTCGTATGGGTATTCCCTTGTAGGTAACTGAGTTTCTTTCTCTTGCTGCTTTTAGGATTCTCTCTTTGTCTTTTGCTCTTGGCATTTTAATTATGATGTGTCTTGGTGTGGTCCTCTTTGGATTCCTTTGTTTGGGGTTCTCTGCGCTTCCTGGACTTGGAAGTCTATTTCTTTCACCAGGTGGGGGAAGTTTTCTGTCATTATTTCTTCAAATAGGTTTTCAATATCTTGCTCTCTCTCTTCTTCTGGCACCCCTATAATTCGAATGTTGGCACGCTTGAAGCTGTCCCAGAGGCTCCTTACACTATCTTCATATTTTTGGATTCTTTTTTCATTTTGCTTTTCTGGTTGGGTGTTTTTTGCTTCTTCATATTTCAAATCTTTGACTTGATTCTTGCGATCTTCTAGTCTGCTGTTGGAACTCTGCATAATATCCTTTATTTCAGTCAGTGTATGCGTAATTTCTAGTTGGTCCTTTTTCATAACCTCGAGGGTCTCACTAGATTTCTTGAGGGTCTCACTAAGTTTATTGGCAGTTTCTAGGGAATTCTTGAAAAACCTTAAAAGTGTGGTTTTGAACTCTATATGCAGTAGTTTGCTTTCCTCCATTTCTGTCATTTGTGACCTGTTTCTTTGTCTCTGCATTTTGGCTGCTTCCCTGTGTTGATAGAGTGGCTTTCTGTGCTAGGTGTCCTATAGGGCCCAGTGGCTCAGCCTCCCCAATTACCTGAGGTGCACACTCTTGGTGCACCCCTTTGTGGGCTTTGTGCACAGTCTTGTTGTAGTTAAGCCTTGATTGTTGTAGGTATCACTGGGAGGAATTGACCTCCAGGCCAATTGGCTGTGAGAATCAGCTGTGTCTGCAGTGGGAGAATTTCTGTGCTGGAGACACCCTTCTGGGGCAAGACTTGCTTCAGTGGGGCTTTGGTGCTCACTGAGTCTGCCCCCGAGTGTGTCCCTTATGGATCTGAGGAGTTGTAATCTGGATGGTCCCACTCTGACCACTGGGTACACTGGCTCTTGGATCTCTAAGGAGGTGCTAATTTAGCCTCTGCCTGAGGCTACCCAGCAGGAGCTACGAGGAGATCTGCAAATTCCCCTTCCTTGTTTGGGGTTTGGAGGTGCCCAGATGAGGCCCAGCTGTGAAGCAATGCAAGCTGCTGTGGGGCCTTGGGCCTTCTCTTGGAAGTTCTGGGTCTGTCTGGCCCAGCTGCAGTTTGTTAGGTAATTTTCAGATTGCAAAGGGCCAGGGCATTCATATGCAAAAGCCTCTGCTGCAGCTTGGGTGGGGTGGGGTCTCAGGGAATCAACAGGGCGGAGCAAGCAGCTATGGCTGATCCTCAGCCCTGCCCTAAGGGGCCCCGTGTCTCAGTGTCCCGGTAATTGCTGCCAGCACCTTTGAGAGAAAGCCGCCCTCAAGTTCCGAGTTCTGCCCGCTGCCAGACAGTCCAGTTTCTCCTGTATGAGTCTAGGTTCCCAGAGACTCACCCGGAACTGGAGTTCAGAGCAGTTGGGGGCTTGTGACTCCCTCCCGATTCAGAAAGACAGCCGCGTCCTCAGTTGCCAGCCCTTGCCGCATGCGCCTCCATACCTCTGCACTTCCGCACCTCCTCAGTGTGCTCTTTTCTTCCCTTCTAGTTGTAGAATTTCCACTCAGCCAGCCTTCCTGTGGTTCTGGATGATGTCCGTTTTGTCTTTTAGTTGTATTTTTGAATTTGTTGTGGGAGGCAGCAATTTCCGGTGTTTGCCTATGCCGCCATCTTCCACACTGTGGTTTTGATTTCCCTTCCTGATAACCAATGAACTTGAATATTTTTTCTTATGTTTATCATCCTCTTGCATCTCCTTTTTTTTTGACATATCTTCTTAAGTCTTATGCCCATTTTAAACACTCGGGTCTTCTGACTTTTGATTTGAGTTCTTTATATTCTGGATATAAGGCCTGTACTAGATATACTTAGTATACAAGTATTTCTACATCTGCACACACACACACACACACACACACATTTATTCAACAGATAGGTGTCACGCCCCCGTGTGCAAACATGTCACAGTCACTGGGGCACAGCAGTGAATAAAACGAAGGCCCTGCCTCATGGAGCTCGGACTCTCCCTAGAGGAGCCTAACTAAGGTGATGGCTTCCTGTGTGAGCCCAGGGCCCTCCCTGCAGGACCTGCTCCCTGCGCCCAGCCCCTCCCACAGCTTCGAGCAGGGGAACGCCCACCAGGGGCAGTGCTGGCACTCCTGTCTCCCCGCCTCCTTGGGCACCAGGAAGGATGGAGATGCAGTCCAGGCGCACACAGAAATGCCGAGCTCACCCCTGTGAGCGAAGGAGAGGGCCATCATGTCTGTGAGGATGCTCCTGGCAGAGACAGTGGGCAGAGAGCCCTCCTTCCTCCTGGGGAAGCCTGTGGGAAGCAGGCGAGTTCTGTGGTGAGCACACCTGGGAGACACTCTGTGCCATACAGGAAGGCACCTGGGGCTGCACGTCAGCTCGCCACCTTCTCTGGCTGTGTAACAGAGAGGCAGAGGGGAAGGCTTTCTCGGGGTGCCGGTGGCAGCAGGGGTTTTAACTGCCCACGTGGGCTCCCTGAGACAATACTATGGACACCTTAGGGACCAGATGTCCTGCAAGGCTGTGGGGCAGGGCTGAGGACGGCGGGGCCAGGTGGCTGGAGGTGTCTCCAGGCCCAGGCCCAGGGCTCACCCGCTTTGGTGCTCTGTAGCCATCCGTGCAGGCCCAGGACCCAAATGCCCGACTGGCCTGAGGGTGCCACAGTCCCTGGCAGAGGCCACTGGAGCTTTACCTGACGTGAGCAGCAGAGGCAGCAGGGGAGCAGGGCAGTGTGGAAGGTTAGGGGTGTGCTAGCAGCCTGCAGCCCTGGCCATTTCTTTTTTTTTTTTAATCTTTAAATTCTTTATTAGTTAAGGAATTACAAATGTGTCCTCACCGGAGGATGTGTTTTTTTTATTGATTTGAGAGAGAGAGGAAGGGAGAAAGGAAGAGAAAGATTGATGTGAGAGAGAAACATCGATCAGTTACCTCCTATCTGTGCCCCAACTGGGCATCAAACCCACAACCTAGGTATGTGCCCTGACTGGGAATCGAACCCATGACCTGTTTGGTGTACAGGATGATGCTCCAACCGAGCCCCTCAGTTGTGGCAGCCGTGGCCATTTCTGCCTGGTGCCCCCTCTCTGCCCTACTGCCCACCCATGGTTAGGCCTGCAGGCGCTGAAGCCGTGAGAGCTGAGTTCCAGGCCTAGTAGAGAAAGCAGGGCTGGGACAGAGCTCAAGAAAAGGAGCTGCTCCAGCCTCCGCCCCCTCTTGGGCAGCACAGCCCCTCATTCCCCGGGGCAAATAGCGGGATGAGGCTGTCCCCCTTCTCCATTGCATGGGGACAGAGGCTGAGGTCCGAAACGGGCCTTGTCCCGGGCCCACAGCCATGGAGGAACTGGGAATCGGGCTGTCAATTATTTTTTAACTTGTGTTTTCAAAAATTAATCTCGTGACTGGCGCGATGGCAGGCAAAGAAGAAGGGGTAGCCAGGAGGAGAGACAGCTGTCTCCTACAGCTCCGGGCAAAGGGGGACATCCTGGGAACCCCCTGATACTGACAGGGGTCCCCACCTCCCGCCCCGCCCAGGGCTGCTCCTGAGCTCCCAGGGGCTTGGCTCAGCTCCTCTGGGGCCTCCCTGCTCCTCCTCAGGAGGAAGAAAGCACGTCCCTGCTCCGCTCTGGTGATGGGTCCCCGGGATCTCACTCCTGCTTCCTCCCCCCACTCAGCCTCTGGGCTCCCAGCTCAGGTCTCCAGAGAGGGCGCTCTTGGGCTGCCCATCTTCTTAGGAACTGGGAGCCTGGGTGGGGGCAGGAGCGCGGCGGAGGGGAGACCTGTCACCTGACAGGATTCCTCGGAGCGTTGGGGCTGGGGGGGTGGAATGAGCCTCAGTGTCATGTGCCAGCGCCGCCCCACGCGTGTCTCAGATTGGTCCTCCCACCGGAGCAGCTGGTGTCCCCGCGTTCACTCGAGGAAATGGAAGGGCAGAGCTGGTGGAGTGAGCACCCCGTCAGGGGACGCATCCAAGCCCCGCGCGGGGCCAGCGCCTCCGTGGCTCTGTAGTGGACATCGAGAAGGCGAGGTCAGGTGAGGGAGGGAGAGGGGAGGTGCTCGGGAAAGGAAAGGGGGTGCAGGGCTCTCTGAGAGCGGGGTCCCACCCACACCTCGTCGGGCACAGCCGGCGCGCCCAGCACCGATCCGATCCGCCGCCGGAGCGCCGTGCATTTCGCTCGCCCGCCCATCCCTGCGCCACCCCTGCGGCCCTCGGCTGCCTGCCCCATCCCACCCCGCCCCGGCCCGCTCCCCACCCGGCCTCCGCCCGCTTCCCGGCCTGGCTTCGCCGTTCCCGCCCCGCGCTTCCCGGCTCTGGTCCGGCTGGTCCCCGCGGTACCCCCTCCCCCGCCCCCCTGACCCCGCCCCGCGGAGGCTGAGAGCGGAGGGAGGAGCGAGGAGGAGGGTGGGGAGTGCATCGCGCGGGGAGCAGGCAGCGAGATGTTTCTGGAGTCCCAGGTAGGGCGCGGGGCGGGACAGGCAGGTGGCGGGTCCTGCTGGCGGTGCCGCGGGGAAGCGCCGGGCGGGCGCCCCCCTGATGGCAGCAGGGCCCGGTGCGAGCGGTTTCTGCGCCGCAGACCTGGGGAAGGGAGTGCGACCCGACCGTCCCCTCCGGAACCACTGGCCCAGAGGGGGCCCCCCGCCCCCCCCAACCGCTTCTGCGTCATCTCCCGGGGCACCTGCTGCCAGGTGGGCGGCGCCCAGGGCTCAGGACTGGGATGGCCCGGCTGCCACTGCCTTCCTGATGGGCTATGGCCGAGGGCACCGGCAAGCCCGGTAGGGACTCCTGTGGGCGAACAGGGCCAGGGGAGGCAGGAGGCCGCCCTGGGAGCAGGTGCAAAACAGGATGGCTGCCCTGGGCCCGGCACAGTCAGGAGGGTAAAAACCAAGATTCCCCGAGTCCTTCCTTAGACCCCAGGGGTCCAGAACCGCCTGTTAGCCGCGGAGGAGGGGCAGGGAAGGGGCGGCCTGTGATGAAGAGGGCACGTGGGCGAGATGAGAGCATGTGAAACTTCTGCTGCTTATGTAAGGGTGTGTGTGGGAGAGAGGGGAGGCGTGTGTGGGGCAGGATTCGCGGGGGCCACAAACGCCGGTGGGTTTCAGGAGAGTGGAGCTCCGGGTGCGGGCAGCTTCCTCTCTGCTGGCGGGAGGCCACGGCCCTGCCCTGAGGGTAGGTTGCCTGCCCATGGCTGTTTCCCAAGGCCCTGCCTTGGAGGCGCACCCAGTGGTGTGACAGGTGCTCCCTCTGTTCCAATCCCCCTTCGCTCGGAGCTGCCCTGCAGACAGCGCACCAGAGGAGGGCCTCACTGGGCCAGTGATGACAATCCTGCTCAGCCTGGCTCACCGGGCCGGGCCGACAACGTGGTGCCCAGAGTCCTGACCGCCAGTGCGGGCAGCTGTTTGCACCTTGGGTAGGTGGACGGACGAGGAAGGCCTCAGCGTGCGCTGCCTGTGCGCGGAGACCGACCAAGGGGAGACATGCGGTACGGCCACGGGAGCAGAGGGGCCGGGCCGGGTAGGAAAAAAACCCCGGGCCTTTTAAGGAAGGAGCCACCCTGAGTGTTCCAGGGGGCCAGCCCTGGAGAGCGGTTTGTCAAGTGCCAGAAGAAGGGTGAGGACACGGGCCAGCGCAGGTGCAGGGGATCAGAGGTGCCAGGCAGGGGGGTAGCCGTGGAGGAGAGGAGGTGATGCCCAGGCCTCACTGATTGCAGGGGTGCGGTGCTGCAGGTGGAGAGGTGAGAAAGGGTGCAGGTGGAGCAGGGGGTGGGTGGGAGGCAGTGGACAGACTTGGGGAGCAGGCATCCAGGATGTTCCTGGAGCCCCAGGTAGGGCTTCTGTGTGTGACATGCAGGGTGGAGGGTCCTGGAGGGTCCAACAGGGGCAAGACTACCCACCCTACAGCCAGGTGGCATCACCCCCGGGAGAGTCCCGGGTTCGGGAGAGGTCTGGCCTGGAGGGCTAATTTGGAGCCTGAGCTTGCTCCGCCCTGTGGGCCCCCTGCCACTTCCTGGCCACACTGCCTACCCCTGTACCTGCTGCTAAGGACAGCCTGGCCCTGGACCCGGCCTGTCCAAGCACCACGCTCCCATCTTGCTGGGCTTCCTGCAAGGAGACGGGAGGCCCTTCAGTGAGCTTCACCTGGAGAGGGGAGCGGAGTGAGGGAGCCGCTCCTCAGGTATGACTTGGCTGCTGTGTGCCTTGGGGGCTGGCTGAGGTGTGGGAGTCAGGGGACAGCACCACCTGCAGGTCGCATACCCATCAGGCCAGGGCCCACAGTCTTCCAGGGCTGAGCAGCCTGGGAGGCCCCTTTGGGGAGAGAACCACACATTGACTTTGGGATGGGCAGGGTTTGACTTGGGCGCAGGATGGAGCTGTGGTACCTGTGGAAGCTGCCTGCACCCTCCACACCTCTGGGCTCCTTGGACTTCACCCTTCAGGATAGCTGCGGGAGAGTGACCAGAGGAGGGCTAGGTCTGTCGGGACTGGGGTGTCAGCCGGAGACCTGTGATGTTGCCCTGCTTTCCCTTCGCTTAACCCACTGGAAAACTCCCGGTCATCCTTAGAAGCCCATCTAAAAAATCACCTCCTAAAAACAAACAAACATAAATAGTCACCTCCTCCAGGCAGCCCTTCCTGCTTTCTCTTTTTAGCATTAGTTCTCCCACCCTTGTTCTTCCTCAGCACCCAGCAAAGACCCCTAATCCCAAGTTGCTCACACTGCACTGTGGTGTTACAGTTGTCTCCCCTGGCAGACACTGAGGTCCCTGGGTTCTGTTTCCAAGTGTGAGGCACAGGTCAGCAGGGCCCCGTGGGTGTTTGGTCACTGAATAAGAGGGAAGAAAGGAAAGAACAAGCCTGTCATCAGGAAACAGCGTGTGGCCTGTTTCTGCCTGGTTCTGCCTCCTTGGTTTACACACAGGGAAACTAAGGTGCTCAGGGCCCAGCTTGCCTGAGTTCAGCCAGGGGGTCAGGGGTCAGAGCTTGCAGCAGCACCAGGAGCAGGGGGAGCCCACATGCATTCTGGGACTGGCTGACCCCAGAGCCTGCTCTCCGTTGGGTCCCGGCCTAGGAGCATCATCCTTAGAAGAGGGAGAGCAAGTTCCTAAAGGAGGCTGGAAATCTGCCGGGCCCAGCCCAGAGGGTGCAGTGTCATGGGCCAGGAAAGAGGGCTACAGGCCGGGTGGCAGACCTGGGTGACAGAGTGGGCCACTGGGGAGAACGTGTCCCCGGCCAATGGCTGAGAGACCCACGGAGCCAGGGGGACCCAGGGCCAGCAACATGCAGGCACCTGCTCACACCTGCCCCTCCCTCACGGCCACTGGAGTGAGCATTACAGTTTCTGCTCCCCGTGGACTCAGTGGGAATGTCTCTGGGGATGGGGACCCCTGTACCCAGGGGAGACAGGTAGGTAAGCTATTTATTTTTTTAAAAGTATGTTAGGTAATTGATAATTGAACTCTCTCATTAGCTGGAACAGATTTTCAGTTTGGATTCCTGGGAAAACCCAATAAATTAATCCCATTACAGCACATAAGATACAGTCTACCTCTCCATTTCTAACGTATTTTTTATTTATTTTCTGTGTTTTCCAAAAGGTGCAGAGCAACATTAAATAATGACAGTTGCCTTGGCTTGCTTTTATTTTAATGAGAGGGCCTCTAATGTTCTACTGTTAAGTCTGAATTTGGCCTTAAATTTCAAGTAAATATGCTTCTTCATGAACAGTATGCTCCATTCATACATTAATCGCCAAGAGTGTACACCAAGAATGGATATTCATATGCAGTTTCATCAAAAGCTTTCCTGTCTCAGCAAAACCATCACATTTCTGTCTCCGTGGGCTTGTTAACGTGTTGACGTATTAGCTCTTCTGAGCGAAATCATCCCGAGTTCCTGGCCCGAATCCCAGGGGTCAGGCTCGATTGTGCTTGAATGTGCTCAGGTGCATTCCACTGATTTGATGCTTAGGGTATTTTTCGTCTGTACTTTCCTTTTTTATTGTTATGGATTGTTTTTGGGTGTACCGCTTAGTGGTTAGACAAGCGTATACTTTACATAGTGTTCCCCTTGCTATGGCTCCCACTGGCACAGGCACAGCTATCACAGGATTATTGACTATATTTCTTCCTTGGCTTTACTTAGGGCCCGTGTAATTTTCTATTAGGGGACATATTTGTCACGTTTATAAATCATAGTTATGTTAGCGTCATACAATGAATAGGAAAGGTTTTCAACATGAATTGTGTAGTTGAACTAGTTTAAATATAATATAAAATCATTGTACTCTCCAAGGCTTGAAGTAATTCATTTTAGAAACTGTATCAGCTATGGCTTGCTTTTATTTTTCTCTGAGGTTTAGTTGGCTGTCAACTTACTTAATTTGTACTATGGTTATTGGTCTTTTTGCGTTCTAAACATTTTTAGTGTATTTTGGTTACTTATATTTTCTAGATAATATCCCAGTTCAAACTGCTTTCAGTCTTCTAGTGCAGATCTACATAGTGTATTTTTCTAAGTTTCTTCTCCATATCTTCATTCCCAATAGCTATATTTTTGCATTTTCTCTCCCTCCCAGTTTCCTCCCTCCCTCCCTCCCTCCTTCCCTCACTGCCGTTCTCCTTCCTTTCTTCCATTTTTTGTTGTTGATTAGAATTGCCAGAGGTTGATTTTCTAATTTGTGTTTTCAAAGAAAATCAGTTCTTGAGTGTAACCAGCAAGTTCTATTCTCTTTCTTTCATTAAATCCACTAATTTATCTCTTAGTAATTCCTTCCTCCAGTTTGCCGATGTCTGTTTTGTTTAGAAGCTCTTTTCAACTTTTTGAATCAAGAGCTTAATTCCTTCGTTTTCTCTGTTCTTGTTTCTTTAAGATATACTGAATTCTGTGAATTTTTCTCTGGATACAGCTTTAGCCACATCACATTGCATAAGGAGTTTCCTTATAAGATGTGTCTGCAATTGGAGTTTGATTGTTTGGAACCCAAACATGATTTGGGGAAGATTTTGTGAAGTGGGTGAATGCTTTTGGTTCACCGTTCGCTTATTGATGTTCAGGGCGTGTCCATGTCACGCTGCCCTGGTTGTTCCTGCCTGGGACTCCGCCGGGGCTTCTCTGGTGCTGTGCTGTGTAAACGCTGCGATGGGCACTCTGATCAGGACGTGCCATCCTCTGTGTGGGGCGTGGTGTTTCCTGCATTTGTCTCTTCATGGTTCCACCCTCCCCACCCCCTTGAGAAAATGCACTGCAGTATTTCCATTCCTTCCCCCCAATATCTCCTTAAGTATCTCCCAGTGTCAGGAAGAGTAGAAAGTTCTGGTTGTCCTGGCTCCTGTCTGGTCCATGGGGAGGAGCTCCCTGCGTTGTGCTGGGCACTGGGCCCATTTCCTGGGCACAGCAACCCGGTGGCCTCAGGCTGTCCTAGCCTCCAGGGCTGCCCCTCATCTGTAGGCAGCAACGCC